GAGCACTGATCTGCTGTATAAATTAAAAAGATACATAAGCGACATTATAGATAAACCGAGAAAATTAAAGAAAATTATTTTGTCTCGAGAAATCTTTGTAAAAAGTTTAACCAATATTTAGTAGAAAATATTAATAGAAAATACAAAAATACATTTTTTTAAAAATAATTTCTATTGTCAAAAAAATATACAAATTTCTGTCAATTGAAAGTTTCAATATTTGTTTGTAATATGAATTAATTAATAAATTTATAATCAAAAAATTTTTTCAGTAATAATTTTCAATAAAAATCAATTAACAATTAAATGATGTAGGGGAGAGTGGGGCAAAATCGGGTACCTTTTTAGAATTCTCGGTTTACAAAGAATCTATCAAATAAATTAGTTCAAATCTCGTTGAAAATTCTTCCTTGAACATTAGAGAATGCAAAAATAAGGTCGATTGCATGAAAAAAAATTTTTTGATCAATTTAAACCAGGTTTTTCAAAAAAATGCAAAGTACTCGGTTTTGCCCCGATGGTGGTGCAAAATCGGGTACTATCAAATAAATATATAAATCACGGAATATTCTTTAACTTTTTGCTGAATTATTATTATATATCACTTACATTATAGAAAATAATTAATATTCAATAAATTTAATCTAAATATATTATATTAATAATGAATAACAGCAGTGAAATCTTTTAAAACGAAATTTTTCATATTTTTATTAATTTTTTATCGTTTATTTATCGATATGGTAAATAATTGATATATCGAAAGTTAAACATCGATTTCGAAACATACATGTCGATTATTTTGAGATAAAATTGAAATATGTATAGTGTAATGCATTTAAATATATCCGATTTTGCCCCACCGTTTGGTACCCGGTTTTGCCCCGCACTGCATATTTTAACAAAATGTAAAATTCTCAGCTTATTGTTAATAACACTAGTTTACAAATTTTCAAAAAAATTTTGCCGGAGAATCTTGACAAATCCTGGACGCCAAATGTTTTGTGCAACACTTGTAAATCCCTCAACTAATGAACTCTGCGAAAAACAGGATTTTCGTTTGCTTTTGGCAGATTTTGTATTCAGGTTGCAAACTGTCACGGTAGCACGTACTATTAGAATATTGTTAACAGTTGTGACTGTGTAAACAAAATCATTAAGTATTCACGGGAAGAAGATTTTTAGTGAATCTCACTATCACATATTAATTAAGTGAAATTTACTTCACGTCTTAAAAGTAACACAATTCATAGATCTCAGATTTACTATTCGTTAAGTACATCTGACAAACTTCTAGTTAACTAAACCATTTGATTAGTAAGTCAAAGAGCGACAAAAATTTTTTGTAATTGTCACTCAGCTTGTAGTGACATCCACTAAAATCTTTTCTAAGTGACTGTAAAGGTAAAAAATATTATAATGTAACGTAGAAACGAAAATACTGAAAATATGCGAAAAAATCAAATTTCCACATTTTTACTAAAACGCTTATAACTTTCATATTTTTTAACCGAATTTGTTGAATGACCACTCATTTTCATCGTAATAGATTAGACTTTAATGATTAATAATTAATCAGGTCATAAAAAAATTTATTTTAGCGCAATCAATAGTGGAATCCAGCATTTATTTCAAATTTTTGTAAATTTGAAGCAAAATTTTCGATATATTCATTAATATAGTTTAAGGGGATTACTTACAAATTACCTTTAATTTAAGACAAAAAAAATTAAACTCCGTCCACTGAGAACAAAAACTAGGGGTACCTGGTTTGACCCGCCTGCCCGGTTTTGCCCCACTCTCCCCTAGTATAAAAATTTTTTTATCCGTTAAACGATTTTTGAATCTATTCGGATTTTTGCACAAGTAAATTATTTTTGTCATTTATGAACTTTTTAATTTGTACGGCAGTAATGTAAATTATTATTTTATATAAATTATTTTATATTAACATTTAATTCGACAGATTGTTACCACTTTATATGTTTGTGACATTTGGATATGCAACGATATTTCATCGACTTGGTTCTGGACCATATTGGGAAATTAGTGTTGGACTTAATCGAGATTCATGTTCCTCTTATTGGTGGGCGAATTTGTTTTTCATCAATAATTATTTTGGTGGAGAGAACAAGGTACGAAAAAAAGTTTTTAAAATATTATTTTGTAATGTTAACGATGCATTTTTTTTACAATATTATTTTACTTTTGTTTAGTGTGTGATTCAGTCCTGGTATTTAGCAGTAGATTTCCAATGCTTTTTATTTGGATTATTGTTAATTACTGCATTCAACAAAATGTCTCGTAAAATTGGTTATATATTTTTATGTTGCATCTTCATTTTTTCTGCTGCATTGCCTGTTTACTTTACATATAAAAATGATGCAGATCCACTATTTATCTCCTATGTAAAGTAAGAAATGATTTTAAGCTTATTTCTTTTGTGGATATGAATTTTTTTTTATCGAACTTAAATTTTGAATTTTATTTTTATATATCGATAAAATATACTTCTATTATTTATATGAGGCAAAATTTCTAAAATGTTCGAGTTAAAAAGTTTGAAGTTATTAAATTCAGGCAGAATTTCGCCAAAATGTTATCATTGTTATTGGAAGTCTAAATATTTAACATTATTGAATTTGATAACCAGGATTGCGACAAAAAATTTCCAGTTAGAATTTAAATTTTTTACCTGACCCGAATGAAAATATTTCAAGAGGTTTTCAATTATAAAAAATTAGGACAATAATTTTTTCTGATTTTCCTAAACCGTGTGACAATCATGATATATTTTTAGATTTTTGAAATTTTAATTTTTTTGAAAATTTATTTTTTTCAAGTTATAATATTTATAAAAAGAAATTCGTAAATGTTAGCATGTATATATAATGATTTTTAAAATTTATAGTGTAAGAAAAACGGAAGAAATGGATTATTTTCTGAATTATTACGTTAAAACTCATTTGCGTTTGGCTGCCTATGTTACTGGATTAATTATCGGGGCTCTTATCTATGACCATAAAAATGTTAATTGGCGCCTATCAAAGGTAAAATCAATAATTAATTTGATTTATCATAATCATAATAATAATTCTAAGTTTAAAAAAACTGAAATGTTTAAACATTTCTTCAAAAAAAAACTGAAATTTCTTCTAAATTCATAAAAATTTTTAAAATTAAAAATCAGAAACATTTTCTAATATCCAAAACAAGTCAAACATTTTCTAAATTTAAAAAAACTAAAATTTTATCTAACTTAAAAAAAACTCAAAAATATTTAAAGTACAAAAAAATAACAGTCTATAACTATAACTATAACTATTTTTTAAATTTGTTATATTTTTCACAGATTTGGTCACAATTTTTATATCTTACTGCAATTTTCTTAGCTTTTTTTACAATGTGGAGTGGAACATTTTTCATGAATCCAAATTTGAAAATCAATGCTTTCTCAAAAGCTCTTTATGCAAGTCTTCAGAGACCAATTTTTGCATTCAGTATTTGTGCTATTCCTCTTCTATTTACAATTGGAAACGGTTTAGGTTGAATGTGAAATTTTATGAAAATAAATAAATTGTAGGGGAATAGTGTCAGGATTGGACACAGTTTTGGTTTTTTGTTTATAAATATTTTGTTTAGATAAATTCAGTCAATTGTGGTATATGGGTGGAAAGATCTACAAAAGAGGAACACTTTTGCTGTGGACCGTAAATTAATTGGTCCAAAATTAAAAAAGTTATAAACATTTAAAAAAAAAAATCTAGTCAGGGTTTGACTCTTTTTGAAAATCGAAACGCATTATTGGTAAAAACGTAAAATAACATTTGTAATGATTTTTATTCTTATTTTTTCATGTTTATCTTTACTTATTGTTTACAAATTGTAAAGCTTTATGGTTTTAAAAAAGGAATGAACTCAAATTACAAAAAATTACGCTTTATTGTTCCAAATAACTCAATGAAATGATGAACAAAATTTATACAATTTAAGTATTATTTTTCTAATATCTTTGGCACAATTTTGCACTGAAATATCAATAAAATAAAATTTATTTATAAATTGTGTCAAATTCATAATTAATATGGGTGTCCAACCCTAACTAGAAGCATCATTTTCGAATTGTGCTAACCATAACCAGACATGTGTCGCGATTCGATTTTTCACTTTTTTTCTTCTTAAATTATGTACCCCACAATACATTCAATAAGCTTATCTTGCCGAATTCTTGCTTTTTTACAAATTTTTATGTTTATTCACAAGTCAAACAAAACTTTTTTTGTCTCTTCGATTGCACCGAAGTCACAGGAGACGCTACTTTTGATTCTCAAAAAATGTAATGCCACAAAAAGTTAGGTTACACTACTAGAAGATTCGTCACGTACGCACACAGGTGGCGCTAGTGTTCTTTTTTTAAAAAAAGCCAAGTGTCCAACCCTGACACTATTCCCCTACATCGAATTTACAGGGGGTATAAGCTGTGAAATAACTAAAATTTCTTTATTAACATTGCAGATTTTTATTACAAAATTCTTAATGCAAGATGGTTGCAACCTATATCAAAAATTTCTTATTCAATTTATCTAACTCATTATGCACAATTTCTTTATGAAATTGGAACTACAAAAACAGCATTTGCATTTTCATTTTATAATGCAGTAAGTTATCTTTAATTTTCAATAACTAACACTTTTTGAACATAAATTTTATTAGGACTTGTTTTTTTCATAGGTGAATTACACTATAAAAGATTTTATTTTTTCAATACTCTTGGGATTATTTTTTGCTATTGTAATTGAATTTCCATTTAGAAACGTCGGCGACATAATTTTAAAAAGGAAGACAATTTTACAACGAAAAGAGTAATAAAATTATTTTTATATTTAATTTTTAAATACAAATTTGATTGAAAATATTTTTTATTTTTATTTCTAGATCATCAAAAAAGGAGGAATAAACATTATATATTACTGGAATTTTAAAGAATATAAATAATTTAAATTGAAATTGCATATTTTCGTTACATTTAGTATATTTTTAATCTAATAACTATTTAATTGATGTATCTGAAATTGAAAAAAAAACACAAAATATGAATGTAAAAGGTCAAAAGTTCATTTTTCAATCGTACAATTCTATTGTGATAGAAAACGGCGACAACAATAATTATTAAAAAATGATAATTAATGGTAATAAAATTTTTTTCATTCTTATTTGAAGGTGACAAAATAGTAGTCAAGATTTAAAGCTCACAATATTAAAACATGTTTTAACATAGAATGAAACTTTCTATTTTTTAAATATGATTATTCCAAATTGCGTGTAATTTAAAATTACTCATATTTCATATAGTTTCTCCATAATTTTTAAAACGATATGAATTTCTCTTCGTTCACAACCTGCGGTTTGCTACAATTTTTTGTTCTAAACTATCTAATTTCTCCATTAGTATTTGGAGAAGTAACAAAACAAATACAATGTTACGATAAAGATTTACAGAATAATAAATATTTAAACAATTTAAGTGAAAGTAATTATTTAATATTAAATGAATCAAATTTTACGCAAAGTGTCTATAGTGAAAAAAATGAAACTAATGAAAAGTCTCCTTGGTTTTTAAATATACCACTATTGCCAGTAATAGTTGCAACTTCGAATTCAATTCCTGAAGGTTCTTGTAAAACACAACTACTATTGTATCTTAATCATTTAAAAAATGGAACTTTATGGGCAACTGAAAGTAAGTATCCTTAAAAAATTTTTCTCATTTTCTGAGTAGAAAAATTAGGATTTTATAAAATTGTTTCTAAACTTTTCATTATCTACTTTGATTGGATATATATATATATATATATATGAAACGTTCTCTTTAGTGTTTGATTCGTCAGCTAAATATCCTTATGGCTTATTTGGTGGTTTAACACGACATTTGGGAAGTTTTGATCAGTGTGATCGAATACAGACAAAAATAATGAATAAGAATGATGGAGAAATTGAGGAAATACGTGGCAGATATTGTTTGGTTGATGTAAAATTTAAAGAAGAAAATGAACCAACAAATTCTATTGGAGAGCACAAGATATTTTTTGATCCACAAGTTTCTGCCTGGGAAGCAATCAGAGTATTTTTTAAGTTTTAATATTTATTTATAATTTTATAAGCTGTTGCGTGAAAATTCGTGATTAAAATTAAGTAATTTATACAATTTCTAATCTTAGGTGAATCAAAAAATTTATTTCTGAAAAAAATTGCAGATTTTAGAAATTATTAATATGGGGGCATTATGATTTTACTCATTTCCATCACAAACGTGAAATTTTTTAAGAATAAATTTTTTGATAAACATTAATTTATTCTGGCATATGACAACGAATTCTTATACTATTTTTGAGTTTTCCACAAAACCTGGGGATAAAATTTACATATGAAATCACAACAATCACATAACCTTAAAACATTGTCATTTCGGAACGCATAAATATGTTCTAAAAATCATTAATTAGAATATTCATTTCATGGAATTTCATTTCTCATAATTATTTTTGAGCCAAATTTTTATTTGTTCGAATTAGTATTTAATAGAATTTTCATTAAAACGATTTCCTATATTACAGAATTTTTATTTGTCAGAATTTTTATTTGCTCGAATTTTCATTTAACATAATAGGCATTTTAAACAATTTTTATTGCGTAGAATTTATTGCATAGAATTTTCTTTCAGATGAATTTTCATTTATTCGAATTATTATTTGATATAATTTCCATATAACCGATTCTTCATACTACATAATTTTTACTTAACTGAAAAATCATTTAACAGAATTTCTAATTGATAGAATTTTCATTTATCCGAAATTGCAAATGACTGAACAAACAATGGACAGAAAGATTTCGGCGCGATTTTTAAAATCAACCAATCACAATTTAATGGATAATTTTTGATAGGTTGATTTTAAAATCGCGCCGAAATCTTTCTGTCGATTGTTTGTTCGGCCTTTTTTAATTTCGGACAAATGACAATTCTATCAATTAGAAATTCTGGAAAAATCGGTTATATGGAAATTATATCAAATAATAATTCGAACAAATGAAAATTCGGCTCAAAAATAATTATGACAAAAGAAAGAGGCGCATGATTTTTCTCAAAAATTAAAAAGTTCGGAATTTTAATTGATCGAATTACTTTAAGTCGATATTTTATTTGGTCGAAATTCTAAAAGAACGACAGTTATGAAAGTCGACATTTTATTTAGTCGATATTTTATTTGGTCGAAATTCTAAATGATCGACATTTAATGTGGTCGATATTTTATTTGTTCGATATTCTAAATGATAAAAAATTTAGAAGCATCAAATTTTATATTCATCGAAATGTAATTTGGTCGATATTTTAAAAGCTCGACATTTTTTTTAGATATACGAGTTTCCTCTCTATGTTGTTATTATTATTTACATCAATAATTTCAAATTTCCCGCAAAATTTCAATGTACTTTACCGACAAACTACATAGAAAGGAAACTCGTATAGCTAAAAAAGTGTCGAGCTTTTAAAATATCGACCAAATTAAATTTCGATGGATATAAAATTCGATGCTTCTAAATTTCTATCATTTAGAATATCGAACAAATAAAATGTCGACCTTCATAAATGTCTATCATATTGACTAAATAAAATATCGACCACTTTAAATATCGATCATTTAGAATTTCGTTCAAATAAAATATCGACTTAATGTAATTCGATCAAATAAATTTTCGACCTTTTTAATTTTTGGGAAAAATTATGCGCCTCAAAAGAAATTCCATAAAATGAAAATTCTAACTAATTATTTTTAGAACATATTCATGCGTCCCGTCATTTGAATGGAAATTTCTAACGTAAAGTTATTAATGAATGAAACCACATAAATATTAATGCTTGAAAGATTTTGAGGTCATTGATTACAAATATACAAAATTTAATGAATCATTGGTTTATTTTGAGCTGCAACAAAAATGAGTCCAGGTTTTTTTTTGTGATTGATGAATCTATTTGAAAAAAATTTGTATTCTCATTAAATATAATTATTACGATTTTCCTTGATGCAGTGATTATTTTAGGAAAAAGGCGATTTTCGACGTTACATAAGATACTTTTTGCAAATGGCATTATGTTTTCCTGCAAAATGCAAAACAGAGGATATTGTGGCAGCACTAAAAGAACCCCTAGATGAATTTGGTAAAAAATACAATATTCAAGTCACAGCATCAATTTTACCACTACATTGTTCTTCTACTACTTCAAAGGGAGCCGCTTTTTCTAATTACGAGACAATTTTCTGGTAACGATCGGGTTATTACATTATTAATATTATAATTATTATTATTATTATTATTTTTACATACTTAAGTACATTATGTAAATTAATATTTTTTTTATTAAGAAGCAATATAATTAACAAAAAAAAATAAATTCAATAGTGAATATAGTTTTATATTGCTTTATTAACGTTTTCTTATTATTAAGCATTTTATATAAGCGCGCTTTTTTCGACCTATAAGAGAGTTGTCGTAGCGCAAGCGCAGTAGCGTTTAGGTTGGGTCATTGGCAACTCTGTGTTTCGGGGGTTCCCGTGTATATAAATTGAACATTCATTTTTCATTGTACATGTGAAAATGACAAAAAATTCTTATTAAAAATCTTTTTTTTTCAATTTTTAGTTTAACATTCTTTTTAATATTTACTGTCATCATAATAAGTACAATAATGGATATTAATTCTGACAAAAAGGGAGCAATTTCTTTACCAAAAGAATTATTAAACTGCTTTTCTGCTCGTGAAAACTGGAATAAAATTTTTAATATAACTTATGCACATCCTGCATTTGAGTGCATATATTTTATTCGAGTATTAATGGCAGGTCTTACAGTTATTGCTCACAGACAATTGCAATATATGTATGCAGGAAATATAAGTGGACGATATTTGGAATGGGTAATGAAACAATAATTTAATTAAATGTGACGCGCTTCAAAGAAAGGTATCAAAGAAGCAAAAAATTATAGTTTATGTTTTAAAATTTTTAAGTTTAAAAATTGATTTTGATTTTACATAAATAAAAAGGAACTTTTAATCTAAATTATCATAAACATAACCTATAGTTCGTTTGCTTCTAAGGTCCCTTTGTTCAGAGCGCGTCACAAATTATTAACCTAATTAATAAATTAATAAAACTAATTAAATTTAATATCAATATACAGGTTTTATCTAATCCCACTTTTGGATTAGCTCACAATTTTTCCGTTATTGTAGATGCATTCTTCGGTGTGGGAGGACTTTTACTTTCTTATTCATTATTGGAAATACTGAATAAATCACAAAAATTAGATTACATGCGTTTGATTTTAAATCGATTAATGAGGTATTGCATAATTTATACAATAAAAAGAAATCCAAAAAATAAAACACGTTTTTTATCATGATAATGTAATTTATTATGTTTTATATCAATTATTTTATATTGATAATTAATTTCACAGAATACTACCACTTTATATGTTCGTAACATTTGGATATGCAACAATTTTTCATCGAATTGGTTCTGGACCATTTTGGGAATCTCGTGTTGGATTTAATCGAGATTCTTGTTCTTCAAATTGGTGGACAAATTTGTTTCTCATCAATAATTATTTTGGTGGTAACAACAAGGTAGAAAAAAAATTAAATTCATATTTTACAATATTGTTATCAATCCATTATTTACATATTATTTTTCTCTTGTTCAGTGCGTGGCTCAGTCGTGGTATTTAGCTGTTGATTTTCAATGTTATTTATTTGGATTAATATTAATTACTGCATTTAACAAAATGTCTCGTAAAATTGGTTACATATTTTTATGTTGCATCTTAATTATTTCTACTGCATTAACTTTTTATTTTACTTATAAAAACAATGCAGATCCCGTATTTACCTCCTATGTAAGGTAAGAGACTAATTTTATCGCAACTTCTTATTTAGATATTAATAATTTTTTTTGACGCTGTTAAAAATTTGAGTTTAGTTTTTATTTGTATAAAAGATATTACTCTTATTAAGTATTAGTTTTAATTATTATAATAATTATTATATATTTAACTTTCTTTATAGAACGAGAAGAATAGAAGAAATTGATTATTTTCTTAATTATTATCTTAAGACTCATTTGCGTTTGGCTGCCTATGTTACTGGATTAATTTGTGGAGCTTTTATGTTTGATTGTAAAAACGCTGAATGGCGTCTCTCAAAGGTAAAAGAAATAAGAAATTTTTATTATAGGCTTAAGGAAGCTCTCCGGCGCCAGTGGAGCTCAATAACAACCTGTTCTCTATACATATAAGAATAACTTCTCCCTCAAAAGAAATAGTTGAGAACATTTTCCTGTTTCCCTTTGCCTCTGTCAAGTGCAGAAGTGCAAAATTTGTAATTGTGCGCAGCTTTTTAAGATACGGCAACAGTGTAGAACGGCTGACTATAAACAGCTGACACAAGTTGGTTCATCGCAAGAAGAACATAACCTATTTTTTATGTTTTAATTTCGCGCTACCATGCGCGCGTTTCATACGAACAGTGCGGTGTTGCCAAGACCCGACAGGTTGTGTTTCTCCTATTTGTCAGTTCACTAGAAAATCACTTGAATTTCGATTTTCAGATTACTGTTATTAAAAATTGAACATCGTTACCCCTATAAAATTTTATTTACTTTTATTTCTCTAATTCGCCCCTACAATGAACTAGTTTTTGAGAAAAAGTTATCACGTACTTTCGGAGAAAATAAATAAAATCTGTCATTTTCAACGTTCAAGTTAGAAATCCTATGTTAAATATTACAACTTTGAAGTTAAATATCTCAATTTTTAACAACGCAAGCGATATTGAAATTTTTACCACGCATACAGGATATAAAAATTAGCATTTGCTCAAAGTTTTAGAAAAATCTATCACAAATCGATTTGCCGGAGAACTTCCTTAAAGCAGGATTCCAGGATTAAAACACAACTACTATAAAACTGAATCCAAAAAATACTATTAGCCTTTTTAATAATATAGGGTCAGCCAGGGTAAATCCGAACACGGGGTAAATCCGAACGCTAATTATTTCAGCTTAATTAAAATTTTAAAAAATAAGTTATAGACCTGAGAATTTTTACCTCAGATCCTCTTGAAGAGATTCTAAGTATTATCCCATTTTTCGTTTGTTAATTAGCAACAGCATAAACAAAGATAACGAGTATTGCAAAAAAGATTGAAAATCAAAGATGACACTCTTTCAGTATTTTGTCTCGTATTTGAAGAAAAAGAAGCTAAAAATTCATTTTATTATTTATAATTGTTTGTTATGAATACTAGAACAGAAACTATTTTTCATTTTTGCCTTCTGTCAAATTTTATTAATAATATCAGACCGTTCGTATTTACCCCGGAAATTTGGAAAATCGGGGTAAATCCGAACGGTATTTTCAATCATTTTTTCTTATATCAGAGCCACACAAAATTGTTTTTATTTCATTACACTATTATTTTTTAACATTATAAAAGTACATAGAAAAAAGTTTTTCTTTCTATATGTATCCTCGTTAGTAATTAATAAGCAGAAACTTAATCTCTGTTTTCTCGAAGGAGTGTTCCACTTTTTTTGCCAAATGGTTTGTTGAAAAAAGTTTTTCAGGATCTTAATAAAATTTGGAATTCTAGGGTTTTTGGGGGTCGCTGATTACCAATTTGAAGTAAGTTTTTCAAAATTCAAAATGGCGGATCCAATATGGCGGACGAGAATTAAAAAATTCATTGGATTCGCTCGAAAATTGTTACTCGGGGGGTTTCAGGGTCGCTGATTACGAATTTGGAGTTAGAAAATTTGATCATTTTTAAAAATAAGTTTTAGGAAAGTCCGACATTTTGAATTTAAAAAATTTGACTTTTATTTTTGTATTTACATTCAATCACTCTAAAATACTTTCTGTACCAAGTTTTGCAAAAATCCGTTATGATTTGATAAAGTTATTGAAGGTTTTAATTGTGTAATGCATTTTAATTTTTAACCTGTTTGATTTTTGTATTTATATATGATGCATTATTACATAATAGGTTTATTATCGTATTTTTTTTGAGTTTTTATATAAGTTTAACAATTGCAATACTTTAAATTTATTTTCCCTAAGATTTTTCTGAAATACAGTGGCGTTCGTATTTACCCCGGTATTTTAGGAAAGTTGCAAAGTATAGAGGTAAATATGAACGCTAAGTTTCCTGCGATTGTAATTTATCAAACATTTTTGCCACCCCATAAAATTGTTCTAGGGAAGTAAAGTAACAACTTCATGCATCAGAATACCGGAAGTATTGTCTTTAAAAAGAAAAAACTTATGTTATTGTTTAAACTTACTAAAAGCGTTCGGATTTACCCCGGCTGACACTAATTCAAAAAATACTATTAGTAATAATAATAATAACTCTTATGTTTATAGTCGGTTTAATTTTCACAGGTTTGGTCGCAAATTTTTTATCTTACTGCGATTTTATTAGCTTATACTACAATGTGGAGTGGAACCTTATTTATGAATCCAAATTTGAAAATCACTGCTTTATCAAAAGCTCTTTACGCAAGTCTTCATAGACCAATTTTCGCATTCAGTATTTGTGCTATGCCTCTTCTATTTACAATTGGACACGGTTTGGGTATGAAAATAAATAAATTTTTTTGAGTATTCAGAGTTTTACATAAAAAAAATTTTAGTTATTTAAACTCTGTAAACTCAAAAATATTATATCATAAATATATTTCATATATTTTAAACTATGAGACCGTTTTCATCGTGTGGATAAATTTAATCCTCCGAGAGGTTAGTAGATATATTCTGCATCTGCGCAGAAGCTGTATATACAAACATTCTGCGCAGACGCAGAATATATCTATTGTCTTTAACCACTTGGAGGATTAAATTTATCCACACGGTGAAAACGGTCTCTATATTATATATAATTACCAAAATCTTTTCATCATTGTAGATTTTTATAAAAAAATAATAAATGCAAGATGGTTGCAACCAATATCAAGAATTTCTTATGCAATTTTTCTTACTCATGGCGTGTTAATTCTTTATGAACTTGGTACTATAAAAACACCAATTACATTTTCCTTTTACAATGGAGTAAGTCGAATTATTATTCACGCAAAAAAATCTTCACCTAGAACAGCGATATATTTCACTAAAACAATGAAAGTTTTCGCTATTCTAGAAAAATATATGATCGCTGTTCAAGGTGAAGATTTTATTGCGTGTTGATATAGATTCAAAAACAAAATTTTTTTTAAACTTTTTATTTTATTAATAACAATTTTCATTTCACAGTTTAGATATACTGTAGGGGATTTTATTTTCACTATGCTCTTGGGATTATTCTTTGCTATTCTAATTGAATTTCCATTTAGAAACGTTGGATACATAATTTTGAAAAAGCAGACAATTGTTATAGAACAAAAACAGTAATGAATTATGCATTTTCACATTATATTTTTTAATTTCATTAAGCCTAATTTTAATTAAATTTTATTTTCAGATCATCAAATATCAAAAGAAAGGCGGATTAATCATTAACAGTTCCTAATCAAATAATTCAGAATATTACAATTAATATAATGTTAATCATTCCGACGACCCTGTAAGGATATTAAAGAGTATTTAAATTATTCAATTTCTAACAATTCTTTTTCTGTACAATTTTTTTAATTCCTCAACAAGATATGAAAAAAATAAAATTTTAATTCCTTTCTATGATAGCCAAAATTTCTGTCGTCGATGAAAATAGAAAGGGATTCAAATTGACAACACAAAAAATTGCTTCCAAATTTGGGAATAAAAATTATGTGAACAAAAAGGTAATTCAAAAGGATTTAATTTTTAAGTTGATATGATGATGTTTTTAAAAATCTATACGATTGATTGTTCAGAAAAAAACCTTGAAAGTGAGTAAAATCTAAACAATGATATAAAAGTAGCTAAAACTTATTATTCAGGGGTTTTGAGGGTCTCTGATTACGAGTCAGAAACTAGTTTTTGAAAATTCAATATGGCGGACGACTATTTTTAAAATTCATCTAATTCACTTTAAATTCGCTATTCGGGGGTTTTCGGGGTCACTGATTGCAAGTGCGATGTTAGTTTTTTGAAATTCAAAATGGCGGATCCAATATGGCAAAAGACTTTTATGACAGATTATATGACATCGCCATTTCCCACTTGGAAAGATTCCCCGGAAAGTGCCCCCAGGAGGTTCTATCAGAATTCCACCGGAACTTCCAACGTAATTACGCCGGAATTCCATCGGAGTTCCAAAGAATTTCCAATGGGATTCCGACGGAATTCCGATTAATTTTTTTTCAAAATTTTTAGAGTCCTAATTCTGTAGGAATTCCGTCAGAATTCCATCGGAATCCCATCGGAAATTCTTTGGAACTCCGATGGAATTCCGACGGAATTACGTTAGAAGTTCCGGCGGAATTCTCATGGAACCTCCAGGAGGCACTTTCCGGGGAATCTTTCCAAGTGGGTTGGCAAAAACATAAAACTAGAACGATTTTAAAAATAATCGTCCGCCATATTCAATTTTCAAAAACTAGTTTTTCGGATTCGTAATCAGAGACCCTCAAAACCACTGAATAATAAGTTTTAGCTAGTTTTATATTATTATTTATAGATTTTACTCACTTTCAAGGTTTTCGAATTTTCTCCTTATTTTTCAACTTTAATCTTTAATTTTCAAAAAATCTATCCATTTGTTTGAATTTTGCCATTAAGATTTTTCGTTCAGGATGTCAAAAACTACAAATGTGCAAAATTACAAAAAATTTTACCAAAACCATTTTCAAGAAATGATCCAGAATGTGGGATCATTTTTTGATACCTGAATTGGTATCAAAGTAAAACTGTCATGGCTGGCATGCTCTTATTGACAAGTTTATTAATTAATTTATTCACTGCACTGAATATTCAGATATTAAAAATACTTTTATTATGAATTTTAAGAAAGAGAGAAGCGAAAACTTATAAATTGCGAGCAATTAAATAAGAAAAAATTTATTTCGAAATAAAATCAAATACACTAACCTTTATTTATGTTTATCACATAAGATTTAAGTTAAGTTCACAATCACAACACTTGAAAATTTTTAATTATTTTTATGGTTCAAATAATTATCAATAATTTATTTATTATAAATGAACAAAATTTAAGTAATGCACGCTTGATAAATATTTCTAATGCGTTGTCAATTAATGCAATTAATAATTTCCTATTACACAATATCATAATCGACATATATGACATTTGTAAACAAACAGGGTTGGGAAACTAGAGCCCAAAATATATTAGTCCAAAGCGAATTTCAATCCTACCCAACTCTGCTTTGGACGAAAATATTTTGGGCTCTAGTTTCCCAACCCTGTTTGTTTACAAATGTCATATATGTCGATTATGATATTGTGTAATAGGAAATTATTAATTGCATTAATTGACAACGCATTAGAAATATTTATCAAGCGTGCATTACTTAAATTTTGTTCATTTATAATAAATAAATTATTGATAATTATTTGAACCATAAAAATAATTAAAAATTTTCAAGTGTTGTGATTGTGAACTTAACTTAAATCTTATGTGATAAACATAAATAAAGGTTAGTGTATTTGATTTTATTTCGAAATAAATTTTTTCTTATTTAATTGCTCGCAATTTATAAGTTTTCGCTTCTCTCTTTCTTAAAATTCATAATAAAAGTATTTTTAATATCTGAATATTCAGTGCAGTGAATAAATTAATTAATAAACTTGTCAATAAGAGCATGCCAGCCATGACAGTTATACTTTGATACCAATTCAGGTATCAAAAAATGATCCCATATTCTGAATCATTTCTTGAAAATGATCCAAATATTTGGATCAATTTGATACCTTATATCGAATCAAAACGTTGCATTCCAAAATGATACCATCAAGTTTACAGTGGCAGCAATGCACGGTAAAAGAAAATTCATTGTGACAACCACAACTTCAATTCTAGAACAGACAAATTGTAAAAACTGTGCTGTAAACAAAAAAAAACAGTGTTTTCAACAGGCAGGTTTAGGCAAATTACAAAACAATCTGTGTTTTTTCTCAACAAATTTTCGCGTGTGCTGAAAAATTTTGTTTTTTTCACAAGTCCGATTTGTGTATTTCTCAAAATAAGCTGTTTTGTACTCTCTAAATCTGAATTAGTAAAAATATTTACCAATTTGAATTAGTGAATCACTTTTTGCTTCTGAATTAGTAAAAAGTGAGTCACAAATTTAAATTAGTAAACATTTTTACTAATTCAGATTTAGAGAGTAGAGACAACAACTGCAGTTTGTAGATAGGAGCAGAAATTTTTTTCCTTGTGAAAAATAATAAAAATTGCGACAGAAGTTTAAATTTTTGTTTTTAAAAATTTCGAATTTTATTTTTAAAAAAATTATTAAATGAATTAATTGTTTTTTAATTACCTAATAAATATTAATAGTATTAAATATTAATAATTTCATAAGCAAAAAAAAAAAAATGAAAAATCCACAAATTTTAGAAACAAGACAACTGTGACACTATACAAAACTTTAAATTAATTTCATCATAATAATATATGTAAAAAAAATGACAAATCTCTAATATGCATCAACTTAGATTTCCTAATCTAAACGCATGTAATCTTGACTCATTTGTCTAGCACACTTTATTTTCTATTCCGATTTTTCGCAACATCAAACTCGAATTTGAAGCGAACTCTTCCTCTTTCTTTCTCACTTACTCGTTCACTATTTTTTTTTCTCATTGTCTCAATCATGAAGGGTAGTGGGACGCTACTTTTGTGAGAGATGAGAGAAAGAGGGAGCAAGTGAAGATGGTCGAAAACGGATATCGCGTCTCATACGCGGGAGTCGCTCTGGTACTTTTGAAGGCATCGCATCTTTGAGGAATTCTTGGGACAATTATTTAATCTTAGGTACGGACTATCAAAAGTCTTCTTACATATATATTTATCTCTCTCTCTTTCTCTCTCACTCTCTCTTATTTTTAGTGACGTGTACACGTGTGACATTGCGCAAAAAAAAAAAAAAAAAATTCAATTTTGGCTTTCATTAGCCATGCATGTTGATTGACCCTTGACACGAAATCAATTACAAAATTAAAGTGACGTCGCGTTTATTGTAAGACCCAAACGGATGTGTGCTAATCGCAATTGCCATTGATCGGGGCTATTGATAATCATATACTGCTTCCTCAATTGGCTTCTTCATCTAAATCAAAATAAAAGTTAAATTAGTGCCTAATTTTTTTTTTTTTCTTTTTTTTCCAAAAAATGCTTTTCACATTTTCACAAATTTTGCTTCATATAACATCGTAATTGTGCCTGTGTAAAAATCACTAGTGTTCAAAATGAAACAATTTTTTACATTCATTAGTGTTCTTTTAATTTGTTTATGTTTATTAATTACCTATGTTTTTATAAAAAGTTTTTTTCTTTTAATCAATAGATTTTGTTATTCACGAAGAAAAGTTAATTTATTGACAAAAAATAAATCATTTTCGTAGATAATAAACTTTTTTCTATATAAATTAACAAAAAAAAAAAAATTATTGTTATTGCCAATTAGGAGATTTACGATTAATTTAAAAAAAATATATATATCACTGTGACAAATATGAAATCAAATAGTGTTTTTGTTTAACAAAAAGTGAAGAATCGATTTTCGCAAAATTGATTTTCAATTAAGTGAACTTGCAATAAAACAGTTTAGAAAGGTTACGTTTCAAAAAATAGTAAAAAATTATTCAGTGAAATAGTAAAAATCTAAAGTTTTTTTGAAAACTATTTTTACAAACCTATTTTTCATAACGAACATCACTAATGTGTTTACTTTTACTTTAAAAAAAAGTGCGTTTAGTTATATTTCTATTACTGATTTGGATGATTTGTTTTTCGTCACTAATTATTTTTAAACTCCTTTTACAATACTAACTTATTTAATAAATAAATAAATTATTTTTCTCTTGATTTTATATTCTCAAATAGAATAATGTTCAATTTTTCCTCTCACTTCTTTTTTATAAACACTATTAGTTTTTGAAAATAATTAATATTTCAGAATAATCAATTTTTGAGATTGCAATTTTTATTATTTCTGTGTGTAAAGAATTTTTTTTTTTTTTTTTTTAATAAATTGTGAAAATTCAAGTGTTTGGTGACCCATTGCGTAAGTCACGTGACCGAAAATAAATTGGAGTAGACAATGTCTGAAGAGGACAAAGACGAGATACGGATAATTATATTTTGTAACTGATATTGCCGATTTAAAACAGTGTCTGGCAGCTAAATTTGGCGGTCTCTGGCCCCAATTGCATTGCGTTCGTTAACTTGTTGCGTAACATAAAACCATTGGCGTACATTGAGACAACAAAAATTTTCTATCTATGTTATTCAATTGTTTTTTTTCTCTCTCTCTCTCTTTATTACACAAAAAGGACAATTTTTGCATCCGTTACGTAACCTTTTGAACTTTATAGAAACGATACAAAGAAAAATATTTGTCATTCATAACAAAACATTTTCGGTTATGAGAATTTTCTTTCTATCAGAACAAAAAAAATTTTTTAATTTTTTCCCCCTATCAAATTTTTGTCCAGCTAAAACAGTTTAATAAATTAAAAATAAAAAGTAAACAAGAAAAAAAGTGCAAGTTTTTAATAAAAAAAATTCCAATTCTAAAATAAATCGAAACGATTTTAAAAAATAAATATTATCATTAATTCGAAAAAAGTGTGTATAAAATAAATCTTTAAAAAATAGTTATTAGAAAAAAAAAATTTATTCGATCTTAGTAAAAAGAAACTTTTTTTTTTTATAAAAAAATGAATAAAATTCTTTTATTTCAAAATAGCTTTTGAATTTCTTTTTCTATCAACATTTTTGTATTTTCATATTTTTTTTTTAGAATCAAAATTTGTTGTATTTTGTAATTATTAAATCTTGATATTTAATTTATCATCAATATTGATTTCGATACAAAGAATGAGTTGAGAAATTTTTTTTCTTTTTTTTTTTATGTAAAAAAAAAATATTATGTTTGGTGCGCGTATATTATGGCGAGTTGGCTGGGAGCTATGACTCAGAAACTAAAAGCGTTAGCATATCTCAAATAACTTGTTGCCGCTTTTAAGTGTCTGGCATGACACTGAACTGTTTCACTGGCTTCATCACAAAGTTCCAAATCCCCTAAAATAAAACTATAAACCAATACAAATCAGTAATTATGCACCAAGCACGAGGTTCAACACGTTTCCTGCTTCATGGGAATGTAAAAAGAAAGAAAAAAAAAAAAAAGTTCAAAATAGATTTTCCCAAAAAATGTCAAAATATTTTAAAAATATATAACTATTTTTGACAAAAAAAAAAGTTACAACTAACATTTAGAATGACTGTATTCAAAACATTTCTTCATAAAAATAATAATAATAATAATAATCGAAAGTAAATCACGATAGATATAATTAAACTACGAATAATAATTAATATTATTTTTATTATAATGAATTCATTTAAAATTTTAAAAAAACATTTCAACATCTTAACTACAATTTACAAACCCAATAAAAATTTACATCTAGAATAAAAAAAAAAGTTTAATTATTTTTCAATAATTCTACATTTGTTAACAACGTATATTTATTTATTTAAATCATACACGGGTTTACAAAATTATACCCTTTATAAAGAAAATAAAGTTTGGTTTATAAACAAAATTTAATTTAAACTAAAAAAAAATATTTATTTCACTCAAATAATAGTTGACAATTATCAAATAAATATTTATTGGAACCAAATCATTTTTATTTGAATAAAATAAAAATCATTCGAGAAAATAATTTATTTATTTGAAATAAATTCAATTTAAAAAATAATAGAATAAAAAAGTTAATAAATAAAAAATAATTAACAAATAAATAATTATTTGACATATAAATAAACATTGCTAACTCATGGAGGAAGTGTTGTAATACCAAAATTTTTCAAATTCAATTTCATATTTTTCTTTTCTCAGGAAATCACATTTTTAAAAAATGTCCAAATTTTTCAAAAAAAAAATGTTTATATAAAAAAAATATTATTTTTACATTCGATGTTATTACTTCTTATTAAAAAAAATTATTTACTCTCTAAATTTGAATTAGTAAAATTTTTAACTAATTTGAATTAGTGACTCACTTTTTGCTTTTGTATTAGTAAAATTTTTAACTAATTTTAATTAATGACTCACTTTTTGCTTTTAAATTAGTTAAATTTTACTAATTCGATAGTAAAAAAAAATATTTTTATATACTAATTATTAGTTAAATTTTACTAATGCAAAAGCAAAAAGTGAGTCACTAATTCAAATTAGTTAAAAAAATTTATTAATTAAAATTTAGAGTAAGGTATCTATTTAATTAATTTAATTTAATTTTTAATTTTTCATATTAAATTATTTTATTTATTTATTATTTTTCTTCAATTACTTCTTTTTGAAAATGTAAAAAATTTGTTTGTTTATTATTTTGAACATTGAAAATTTTCATTTTTTTTACTTTGTTATTGTTTGCATCAAAATGTTTTTTTTATCAATTTGTTAGTTATTGTTAACATAGAAAAAAATTTAATTTGTTTTTCTGTTCATAAAAGTTTTTTCTAACATTACAAAATTTTATATATTACAAAATAAGAAAAATAAAAATATTTTTTATATGTAATAACTAAAATTAAGAGAAATTTATGTAGTAACAAATTAAAAGAAATTATATGTAAAAAATAACAAAGTAAAAAAACAAAAATTTGCAATATTCAAAATTAGAAACAAAAATAATGTTAAATGTAAAAAAGTAATTAATGAAAAATTATAAATAATTAAAATAACAAATGTAAAAACATAGAATGTGAAAATAATAATATTTACGTTTTTTTAAATCTAACATATTTTTAAAAAAATTTCTAGTGTTATGTGTTATCACAGAAAATTATAAGGTATTAAAATAAGCTGCAACGCTTATTATTTTAATCCAATTTTGCTTATTTTAATACCAAAATGGATTAAAATAAGCAAAATTGGATTAAAATAATAAGCGTTGCAGCTTATTTTAATGACTTTTAATTTTCTGTGATCTCTTTCAAATTCCCAAACTTTCCCTGATTGTTGGGCACCTTAAATATCACTATAAAGAAGCAAAGTGTTCATAAAATAAGCAAAAAAAAATTAATACTTTAAATTGGCAGCAATTTTTATTTACTAACAGTCAAGTAATCTTTTATTTGAATAAAAAAAAATTCAGTGTAACAATTAATTTAACTTTTAGTGTGTACAGAAAAGGGTAAATTTAATAAATCTATTTTTAAAAATAAGAAAAACAAAACACTAAAAACTTGGTTAAAAGACAATTTAATATTGGATTTTGAGCTTTATTACCGTAATTTCAAAATTTTATTAGGACTTTACAACACCTGTTTATTACGAGTTAAACCTGTCAACACAAAGAAAAATGAATGCACCATTGTCTCTCTCTCTAAATTTATTTAATCGTTGTTGGCAAATTTTACTCATATCAACTTTGATAGTAATAGTAATTTTTAATTTTTGTTTTTTTTTTTTAATGAAAAAATACTGCCACAACTATTATTAGCAAATAAATTAAAATATACAGAGTGTTTTTAAAACAAATTTTTACAGTTTTGATAAACTGCCCGTGTGGAAATCTTCCCAAAGTCGCCCAAAGTGAGACTGGGCGCCAATCTGGGCCAAACTTGGCTTCCCAAAGTTTGAAAAATGAAGAAATAAAAGAATTAAGTTAATTAAAAAAATTATTATTTAAATAATATGCTGACCAAATATACAAAAAAGCGCAACTGTGAAAAGCTGAAAAAAATGTTTGTTTTTCATTGTACTTGGGCAAAGTTTGGGTCAACCCAACCTGGCC